CGTTCGCCTTCACACCCTACCAGAAGAAAAAAAGAAATGAAAGAAATTTATGCAAACGACTCTATTCAACATCTCCAACCGAGAAATAAAAATGACGAAGCTCCGGTTTTAAAGAGCAAGACGGGCTGGAAACGGGATTCGCAATCCGGTCCACAGTTGCGCACCCCCTTTTTCCAATTTATTCCTGAGTCATCTGAGGCAGCCCGGACCGCGCTCTGACCCAGAAAAAAATTTGAGAGCTCTGTAGACTTCCATTAGACGACCCGATCCACAATCCTGTAGGAGGTTCGGAAGAAATACTGACTTGGGAACTAATCACCTTGAGAAGATCGTTCTCTGGTGGGTTTGCAGTGTACGCTTGACTCGAGTTTTGGGCCGTAAAAACTGCGACTGTGCTGTCCGTCAATTTGATTTGGGTGTAAGTGTAACAGGAACCGTAAGACGCTTTGGAAAGCGGAGTGGTTGAATAGTTCAAGCTATCGTTATACTGAATAGCTGGATAAGTTCCGGGTTTAAATTGACTGTAGATAGCGAGACCGCTAGAATTGGAAGGAGCATAGGAACCATAGCCGGAGAAAGTTTCAGAGGTGTCGCTAAACAGTCCGATTGCAGCACAGTCACCTGCTTCCGGTTCGCTTGAATTTTCATAGACCCAGCTTATTTCTACGAGCAAAGGTTCGTTTGAGAGGGAAAGATTAGCTCCCGGGAAGAGCACTACATTGGAAACGTTTGGACACTCCTTATTCACAATTTCAAGGCAGTACCCAACTGGAGATTCGAGGTAGTCAGTTTTTATTCCAACTGGGCAATTGCCTTCAACTTTTCTTGGCAAGGCAGTCGACTGTAGAGACTCGACGCAAAAGTTACTGTAGAAGAAAAAAACTTGGGATCCGTTGTCGGGTCCAGTAACCGCCGGCAGCATAGAGTTTTGACCAGCAGTTGTGCCGTTTTGCATGTTGCTTGCGGATGGGAAAACGTAGTACTGAACTTGGAATTGTTCGTTTGGTTCAACAGCAGTAGGAATTCTCAGATAGAAACAGCCTAGTTCACTGTTCAATCCTTGTATGCTTTCCAGATAGGAGGGGCAGTTGAATATCACGTTAGAGTACGCGTCGTTGATTCCTAAGCCTCGCGTGTTTAAGACTATTTTTTGTTGGAAACCTGCTGGGATAACTACGGAAGAAGAGTTGGTAAGAGATATGGATCCTGTAGAAGAAAAACTAGGGGTATTTATAGTGGACCCGCAATAAATTCCTACGTTTGCCACGTACTTGTTTCCTTCGTAGTTGAAGCTCTCACCCTTGAAACCGACTATTGTTGATTTAGGAGGACAAGAAACGACCGCAATGGGGTACGTTTTCTCTTCGTCTGGGACGTAGCAGACGTTCGTTCCCAAGTTCCAACAAATGATTTTGTTGAGTTCGGATCCTTTAGGCGTCGCCATAATTGACATGTACGAAGCTCCCTCGGTACTATTAACTGGTAGTTGGTACTTGTATTCGGTTTCCTGGGGAGGCGCAG